GAGCTGTTTTTCATCTGTATGATTTTCTTCTCCAGACGATGGCACTTGTGCTGTCACAGCCTGAGCAGAGGGGGAAGGGCACCAGAGCAAACACTTGGGGAGGTGGCAGATATCTGAGTAGGCTTCAACAGCTCTGCTGCCAGAGAGCAGCCCACAGTGAAACCACTCGAGTTCTCAAATCAACAAGCTCAGAATCTTGTGGCTCCTCCATTTCCTATGTCTACTTTTTGACAGTAGGATGTTTATATGATTTCCTTGAAGATGCTTGGTTTTATTTATATATATGTATTTTTAGCTTGCTGTTTTTCAGTGGATAGGCTTGATTTTTACAGGGTGAAAAGTTAAGAAAGCAATTTAATGCTTCGGACAGCATTTTCAGGGTCTGATGTCTGAAGTGATAGAAGGCACTTTGCTTCCCATCTCAGGAACTGAAGGTGCATGCATAGTAATCCTGAAGAAAATAACTGCTTGCTTTCATTATGGAAGTAATCTACTGGCTTAAAGAGGCTGAGCACTCAGGTCATTTGTAAGGTTGGTTTTATCTACATAAAAAAGCATAGGATTAATATGTAAGTGTGCTGAGAGCAAGGGAATGAATCATTGCATGGTTAGAATCATAGAATGAAGTCCTGTGGCTCTGTTGTATGACATGAAGTTGAAGTTTGATAATCCAATTCTATTGTCAATATATCTGTATTCATACTTGTTCCATACATATTTTAAAGCCAACAGTGACATTTCCTAATTTGTGTTTGATCACTGAATTCCCAAGTTGGAATTCCATGTCCTGTGTGCTTCCTGGCACAGATGGGAACCTGTGTGATTTACTTCTGATCTCTTTCAAATCTTACCAAATAATCACACGGTTGAACTCTGTTAGGAACATTGGGAAGATGTTTTGTTGAACTTTTATTCTTGAACTGGACTGAATTAGGGAATCTACTCATTCCCTCCACAGACTGAGCAGCATTCAGTTAGTTTGAAGGAATGTCGCTTTGTGACATAATACCATGCATAAAGCTACTCCAGCATGTGCAGAAGTTTTGCTTCATTGTTCAGTTTTGTAACTACTTCTTGGTTAGTAATGAAACCAAAAAAGCTGCTCAAGAAACAACCAACTATAAGCACTTCTTATGTGATGGTCTCTCTTGCTACATCTCTTTCCCATCCTCTCCCCCTCACTCCTTTTCATGTGGTGAGAGCTTGAGGTTATTGTTGCTTAACTGAGTTGAATTAATTTTTCTGCATAGCAGAGTGAAATGAAAGCAGAGCTGATTTACTCTAGGAAAGTGCTTTTTTTTGTGTTTATCTTAATTTTTCATCTTTTAGGAAGAAGGAATGAATTTGCTGAACAGAGAAACAGTACGTGAAAGGTAAGCATCAAGGTGAACTGGAATGCTTCATGAAGTCTACTATGAACCTGGGATAATACATTTCTTTTCTTCTTTATAGAGAAGTGCAAGTAGCAATGCAGATGAGCCACTCATGGGAGGAGAGCTTGAGCCTGGTAATGCTTTCATGCTTTAATTTGTGTTTCTGTTATCAGTATTTTTTTATTAGCTTAACCTACAATTAAGGTGTTTGCATATTGCTGCAGATGAGCCACTCATGGGAGGAGAGCTTGAGCCTGGTAATGCTTTCATGCTTTAATTTGTGTTTCTGTTGTCAGTATCAGGACAGTAAAGACTCTCATGTCAACATTTTTTTATTAGCTTAACCTACAATTAAAGTGTTTGTATATTGCTGCTTTTGATCAGCAGTTTTTCACACTAACAAGGCATATAATGATCAGTTGTTTGGGGATACCTGTGGGTTCCTTGGGCTGCTGTGTCAAAAGAAAGTTGCATGGATGTCTGCCTGTTCAAATTTTCTTCCATCTTCTGATAGTCACCAAATAATGCTTAAGGCTTTTTTGTTCTTGTTAAGCATAAGCTTATAAATGGCTACCTAAAAATAATTAATATGATGAAAGATAATTCAGTTCCACACCAATCAGCCCTTTTCATGGTAAGGAACTTGCTCATCAGGTTAATTCTATGTACTATTTCCAGAGTGACAATGATTTTGAGAAATCCTCATCACCAAAGCAAGTGGACTTTGTCCCAGTTTCTCCAGCTCCTTCACCTACTAGAGGAATAGGGAAGGTGAGCAAAATGTGGTAATAATGGGTTTATCTTGAGAAGTGCTAAATAAATCCTACCAAATTGGTAGCAAAAGATGAAGCCACCTGCTCCTTTCTGCCTCAGTGGCAAACAAGAAACTAGAATAAAGAAAGAAAACCACCCCTAAAATCCTAAACCAGAAAGTATCAGCCAGCAGATGCACATCTTGTGGGTGTGAAATTCTGTGGAGTGTTCAACTGTTAATATGTGGTTAATAAACCTTCTTCTTTATTTGCCTTCCTCTTGGAATAAGAGGAAGGGGTATACATTCCTATTTTCAGAGTCATGGAATGGTTTGGGCTGGAAGGGACCTTAAAGCTCCTCCAGCTCCAACCCCTGCCACGGGCAGGGACACCTTCCACTAGAGCAGGTTGCTCCAAGCCCCTGTGTCCAACCTGGCCTTGAACGCTGCCAGGGATGGGGCAGCCACAGCTTCTCTGGGCACCCTGTGCCAGCGCCTCAGCACCCTCCCAGGGAAGAGCTTCTGCCCAAGAGCTCATCTCAATCTCCCCTCTGGCAGGTTAAAGCCATTTAACCCAGCTACAGCGAAATAAATCCTTGTCAACTTGCGTGTTTTCTGCATGAAAATGGAATCTCTAATTTTAGGGTTTTTTTGTTCTCAGTAATAAAAAGTGGTATCTGGGTATACCCAGCCCTGTTGACTGGGTGCTTGCATCAATATTGGGTTGCTTATTTACCCACAGTAAGGATCAGTTGTTACTGTCCGGGTGTGATGCAGTGTTTATGCATAGATAACACAAGCTGTTTTCCTCTCAGCAATGTTTCTCACCATCGTTGCAAAGCTTCGTGAGTAGCAGTGGGTTACCTCCAAGTCCCAGCCCAAGTCCAACAAGGAGATTTTCAAGGTCAGTACCAGATCGTATCAATAATAGAAAATCAGCATAGCTTGTTCACAGAAGGCTTTTGAAATCCCAGAATTTGTTATAGACACAGTTGATTTCTGATCACAAATACAACTTCATATATTCATGAAAAAGGGGGGGACATGACACATTGTATAAGCTGTTTCAATGCCGGTTTTCTTAGTGTTTTCCACTTAGTAGATTGTTATTCGAGTATCTTTTAATGCTTTACATGTTTTCAAGCTTCCTTTGTTAATGGTGATCAGTACAGCATATGCCTTTTTTTAGCAGGAGGAGCCAGAGTCCAATTAACTGCATTCGACCAAGTGTTCTGGGGTCAATAAAAAGGAAAGGTACAGTATTTGATTTGGGTTAATATAATAGGCCACCTCATGAACCTTATCAGTTAAAAGTACAATATAGCTTTCCTCATAATTCTGTTCACTTGGCTGATACTTGAAAGAGTGTCTAGAAATAGAAGGTATTACAGGGGACCAAATAAATAGAACTGATTACAGAGATAAAACAGATTGTTAAATTAGTCTGTACTCTTCCATAAAACTAATAGTTGTTCTGTTCTAATGCCTCTCCATTATTATGTCTGTATAGTCACATAGATCTGATAACGTCATGATCATAACAGACTCCTATATAGCTGATCACATAATGATCAGATATATGTACCTAATAACCTAATGATGATAACAGACTCCTCTATAGTCATATAGATCAGATAAGAAATGGATGTAACCTGCTTAACAAAACAAAACAGGAAGTACAACTGTTGGTCTATTTAACTTACCAAGTGAAACGTTTTGAAAGTCCTGGATAACTCAGCACACAGGTACTACAGATGTAATAATCACCCTTCAAAAGCTGATGCAGAGACCTTGTAGACACTTTACTGCTTTACTGGGAAATGTTGCCCAATATCACTACATTTTTCTTCAAGTTTAACTTCTGGTCATTTTATTGCATCAGGTTTTATATCTTCATGCTTCACCTTTGTAACAGAACACGCTGCCTCTGAGACAACTTATAAAATAATTCTATTTGAGTTCTGTCATAGCCTGTTTAAGCATATATCTATCCTCCCTTCTAGAGTATTTGGAAGTCAAAGTCAATGCATAAGTTTAGTGGTAATCCTGAACCTTGTTTTTATTGATTGCAAGAGGAAAACAAGCTTCCTTATTCTCAGCTTCTCTGCTTTGGTGGAGCTAGTCAGTGAACTGATAGCTGAACAAGCTGGAACAAAAGGATTGTTCTTCAATACAGAACAATAAATACCTGATATCTAAACTCAGTTCATAACTCACTGAACTATTGAGGTTTGGACTAAAATGTTGCCAAGAAACAGACAGTCTTTAAAATTTCAGCATCAAATTTCTGGTTTACATCTAAAATAACACTCCTTCTGTTGTGTAAGGTTGAACCTCTATTCTGTTTGCTTTCACTGAAAGTAGATTTTTGTTTCAATGACTAGTAATGTCTGTCATTCCTTATGTCTTACGAAAGGTGTAATGGAGATAGAAGATCATCCAAAAAGGTTATTCCAAGGATCCACCAACATGCTTAGCCCTGAGGTTCCACATCAGGCAGACCTTGGAGGATGGTAAATGCTGTGCTGTTTATTATGTCCGTATTGTCAGAAGCATTATAGGTCTCTCTTCATCTAGCAATGATTATGCTTGAAGTCATTTGTTTGGTTTTGGGGTTTCAGTACAGACATCTCATTTTGCAGCAGTGAAATCACCACAATATTCACTACATTGTACAGGTTCTAGGACAGGCTGTTAACGTGCTTCACCTAAATGGGAGCTGAGTATGTTTAGGAAAAGATACCTCATGGCTGACAGCTCCTGGAGTCTAGTTTCAAGCTGCAGTCAAATGTGAATGCTGATGCTTAGAGGTGGATTGGGGGTTTTCTTCCTTCTGTTTTATTTTCCTTGCTCTTAGTCACATAGGAAAACTAGTCTGCCCCTCCCTGCTGGGAGGAGATAAAAGTACTATGTTAAAAATCATAACAACTTGAAATAGCAAGGGCTTTTTATTTAGTGTTTCAGACAAGAGGTTAGTAAGACGTAGGCTGTGCCCACACTACTATGCACACAGGCTTGTTCACAGCACTCCTGTCCTTCTTGCCTCTCAGCTGATGTACATAGCTGTGCACAACCTTTGAGCCATAGCAGTGACAACAATAACATAGATGTCTTAAAGGTACTTTAAAAACATGCCTTTTCTTGCACTCCTATTCACAGTGGGCTCAGCAGTGCAGGGTCAGTGGCTGCATCTTGGTTTAGGAGATGGTAATTTTAAAAAGCATCTTCTGATGCTGTTACTGATGATAGATCACCTCAGGTGTGATTTTGAGTCCTGTGCAATACTTAGTGAATGGTACAATTGAAGCGTGTACAGTTTATCATCAGCTCTCCTGGTGACAGAGGCCTCTGGATACATGCTAGGCCAGGATGTTGCAGGAGATGGGGTAAAGCTTGGGATGAATTCCTCAGCCTTATGCTTTCTAATCTGTGCGCCCTCTCTGGGTGAGCTGAAGGAGATGGGCAGAATGTGATCTGCCTGTCTGGAAGTGATTGTACAGTGTGTAGTTGCAGCTTTATTTCCAATCATAGGGCTTATTGCTCCTTCAGAGATGCTCTAAAATAGCTTTATAATGAGTGGAAGGTAGTAGTTGAAACTTGGAGCACCTCATTTCTCCTAACTTGCTGTTCCTCTGTTTCCAGTCTGTCGTCACACGCTCTCGATGACAACAGGAGCAGTGCAGGCTCTTCCTGTGACTCACCAGCTGAAGCTGGCACCAACACAGACTCTCCAGTCTCACTTTCTGACTCCAGATCTCCTTTTTTACCAGTAGATCTCACAGCTAAGTTACCCATCAATTGAGAAGCAGAAGTCTGCTAATGGACACCAGGAAACGGGCTGGACGGCAATAAGACTTTCTGTTGTGTGTAACTGATTCTGTTCCTCATAGGAACTTCCAGAAATGTCATTATTTCTAGAAAACTTCCAGAATAGTTCCTTGAGGAGGAATTCACGTTTCTAGTGATTTGTATGACATTTACTACAATACAGTAAGCATTTGAATCACAAACGTATTTGATGCTAACATCAGTGAGCAAGCTGTTGATTTGCAATGGATATTGTCTTGTTGGAGTAAGTTACAAGTATTTTACGTACATTCTGCTTGTGGAACTCTTGGCTTTCCAGCAGCTGCCAGGCAGCATCCTCACTAATATAACGTGGTGCTTGTGTAGTAGCAGATAACTTTCACACTTGTCCTCAGTCTGAAACCAGCAAAGCAGCTTTTACTAAGTTGTTCTTTTTCCAGGAGTGTTAGATATTTATACTTTTTGTTCTTCATATGAAATAGGGAATATTGGGAGGGGGAGATTGATTCTTTTGTTCTATTATGACTGGCTGTTAATCAGTTCTGTGTTCTAATAGATATCAAAAGAACAAGTTGGTGAATTGTCAACTTAAATTTATATGTTGGATTTTATTCATGATCATGACTGCTCTCGTGGCTAAATTCAGCTGAGATGTGGAACATTCTTCTGGGGGTTTGTATTTTCATTTTCTTCCCCATTTAGATGATTTATTAGAGTGGTAGATGCTCTATTAAAGGTCTTTTAATAAGGAAATATAGTAATAATGTTTGGAACAAAACATTAAATCCTGAGGTTTTAGTAATTAGTGCTTCAGAAGTGCATTGTTTTAACAGGCAGTATTTGTCCCCATACATGGCTTTTGTGGGACAGAGGAATCTTGAATGCCTTTATACAGACTGAGGCGATCAAACATGTTATATCTGTGTTTAATCTCCTGATGTCACTTCCTCAAACGATGACATTGAGTTATTTCTGCTGTTGAAAACTTCAGATGCTGATTGCAAGAGGTTTCAGGATTCTTGTGCTGTATTGGAAAAGTCAATGGGGTTGAGACAGCCTGATCTCAACTTGGGAATTCCCCAAACAGGAGGAAAACCTGCAAGCCAGCTGGTTTCAGGTTTTCCAGTGGCAACTTCCTTTTGGTTGTCGACTCCTGTTACGCAGCTGGTCCCTGTTTGCACGTGTGTGTGTGCATCTGTACTCTGCGGTTTCAAGCCTTCCCTCCACAGAGGTTAATAATGAAACAAAATGGTTTCTTTTTTAACACTAAATCTTTGTCCTGTGTAATAAGGTGAGAAAAGTGTGGAAACTTCCGCAAGTAGGAGAAAAGCCTGAACTCTGCTGTGAAAGGTTCACGTGGATGAAGCTTTGACTGACAGCAGCCATCAAAATTAGAAATGGACAACTTGGAGTGAAAAGACCTGGTGACCTGAGGGCCAGGGACCAGTGCCCGTATGTCCTTATTGCAGAAAGAAAATAGAATGTATTTAATAGTTTGATTCAGTTCAAGTAAGAAGTGACATGGTTTACTTTGATTTCATTCCTCTTAAGTTATTCTAATAGTCAACTTCCTGATTGCAGCTCCCTTTTAAATCCCATGTGCCCTTCATCCATGCGGCGGATGGACAAGCTTGTGTTTCATGTCTGTTGACTCTCTCTAATACAACACAGTTTGGTTTTGCAGTTTCAGGTATGTGCCAAAGAGTTGCTGTGTGTTCTCTCTTTTGTGGTGAGGGCAAGATGGGGTCTCAAACATCTGGTAGAAGAATGAACCTCCTGGTGTCTCTTCCAGTCTTTTCTAAAGATGCACCAGTAGAGGATTTGATAGTTACGTGTGGGTCAACTCGTCTCTCTTCTGTTGAATATTTATGCTATTTTTCAAATAAGTGCCAATAAATGGAAAAATAAGTGTGTGTGGCTGTTTGTGCACTTTGTTAGAGCCAACCACATTCTGGTTTTAATGTTTAAATGCTTTTAGTTTTAATTCAGAATATCTATTGTAACTCACTTCCACCCAGTTGGAACTGGATGAGCGTTAAGGTCCCTTCCAACCCAAACCAGTCTGGGATTCTGTGATCTTAAAGTTCCGTGGCAGCTCTGGGAAAGCCACAAAATAAAACCAAATAAAATCAAGCCCAACATTTTCAAAAGACTTTATTAGCTAAATGTGTCCCTGGTTTATACCAAAAGGAGGTTGTGGTGAAGTAGTTTGGAAGTGAGACGCTGCAGTTGGCTGGGGGGACAGTACGGAGGCTCTCACCTCCTGGGAAGAAGTGGGGGATCTTTGTGGTTTGCCTCCATGGGGCAATTAGTGCTGTTGGAGGAGAAACAGTGATGTATCTGCAGTCTGATGTATCTGCAGTTGCTGCTTTCCCTGCTTTTGGAAAACAAATCACCTTGAACTTGTGGAAAAGGCATCTCTGTTTCTTGGCTGCCGTGTCATCGAGAAGCTGCAGGTTTGTGCCCTGGGGTCAGGGGCACATACAGGGTTTTTCCACTGAAATGAAATACATCTTGGAACCAAATTATCCTGTAAAATCTGCGTCTGGCTTGAGGGGAACTGGGGTGTTACACACTGTGCATCATCAGCCCTGTACTCACATAGTAACTCAGCTGTTAGTGTTATCTCTATTTTACTGTTAACTCGTGAATAATGAATATTGAAGCTTTGCTTGATTAAGTGGTGTTGTTACAGGACTACTGTAGATTATATTCCTTGACTGATCTGAGTTTGTATTACAAGTGTTATGCTTTTGTCTTCCTCTGAGAAGAAAAAGGCAGCTTCCTTGTCTAAGGCCTTACTGGAAGTAGTATGATCGTGTGTGTGTGTGTGTATATATATGTGTGTATATATATATATATGTGTATATATATAAAAAAGTGTAAATATATAAGTATATGATATATAAACTTGTTTATCCAGCAGCTCTTTGGGGGCATAGAGCCATTCCTCTGGGATTCTGCTGCTCCTCTCCCATGGCACCCTTCCAGAGACCTGCTTGTGATCAGCACTTCATTGCTCTGGTTGAAAACTATCCTGTGGGATTTGCTGGCCGTGAAATCGGGTCTTGGACCAGTGTGTTTTCCTTGACAACTGGTAGGTGTTTTTCTTCCTTCCACCTTCTCCAGTGACGTGGCTGCCAGGGGAACATGGATAATGGTGCCAGTGCTCAGTGGGACAGTATTTATGGAATGAGAGCTCCGGTGGCTGCTGCGTTTAGCAGAGGGATAGATACTTCATGCTGGAAGAGAGGTACAAATGCCAGGGAAAATGAGCCTGTGCAGCAGCCAGATTAACTTGCTGGGGTCTTCTGTGTGGTCAGTGAGATCTGAATAACTCCATGGTCCTCCTGAGATGACTCGAACTTAATCCTAAGTTTGTTCTCACCTTTGTTCAGAAGACTTGAGTGTGAATGATCACCAGCCCATACAAACACAACAGGGCTCCAAGGTCTTGTACTGGGGAGCCTGAGATGGTTTGATCTGTCAATGTCTATTGTGGTTCTAGTATCAGTGCTCTATGTGTGAGTCCAGCCCCGCTGGGGGGAGGTGATTTACCAGTGAAGTGACTAAAGGCAGGAGGGACCCAGCTCGAGAGCAGCTTGTGCATTCCTTAGCACAAGAAATGTTCACTTCACACTGTTGTGCTCTTGCATATGTTGGAGTTGTAACTCATTTACTTAAAATAGGGAGCTTCAGGAGTCATAATTAAAACGTGTGAGCTCTTCATAGCCTGTTTCAAGCAGCCTTTCTCCATCATCACTAAGTGGCAGATGGAGTTGAAGTTGATCCCTCTTCTGGAAGCACCACGTTAAATATTTATCAATGTAATTGAATGTTTACAGCTCCAGAATTAAAACCTTAATGACAGGAAGATCTTAGGCAGAAGCTCTTCCCTGTGAGGGTGCTGAGGCGCTGGCACAGGATGCCCAGAGAAGCTGTGGCTGCCCCATCCCTGGCAGTGTTCAAGGGCAGGTTGGACACAGGGGCTTGGAGCAACCTGCTCTAGTGGAAGGTGTCCCTGCCCGTGGCAGGGGTTGGAGCTGGAGGAGCTTTAAGGTCCCTTCCAACACAAACCAGGCTGGGATCCTGTGGCTTGCAAGAGCCCCTCTCCAGAACTGGATGTCAGAATTGTCACCTCACGTTTTTGATGTGGTGCCTGTTTCCAAAGGGTCTGTCCCAGATGGATGATTGTTCATGTTTTAGCTGTGACAGCGGAGTCTTCCCATTTCCGTCTGCTTGGTACGAGCTTCCTTGTCTGATGTCTTCCTTGAGACCTGCCAACAGCCAGCCTGGGTCTTGGTCAGGAGGTGCCCTTCCCCTCTCCAAGCAGACAGCTCTGCTACATCCACAGACGTGCTGGAAAGGGGGGATTCCTTCCTTCCCCTTTGGGGTCTGGTGGGAGAAGCATGAGAGAGGAGGGGAAAAAATAACCAACTGAAGGAGAACAACCTTGTTTGACTTTCAGTCGCTGGCTCAGGAACAGGAATGTCAGAAAGGGGGAGGAGCTGAGTGCATTTAAACCAGAACCAAACACGTCTCTACATGCCTTCATCCTGGCTCCCCTGCGTCTCTCAAGGGATTGGTGAGACTTCCCCAATCCAAGGGAGATTCCTCAGACAAATCTGGCATTCATGAAATACAGAAGTCTTCTGAGGCTTCAGTTTCTTCCTGCTCCACAAGAGCCTTGGAAAATGTTTGTTAAATTCAAGGCTTCCTTCCATGACTACTAATGGCATGTAAATGTTTAGAACTTTGCTGGGTGTCGAGTAGGAAGAGCTGCTCGAGCGGGAGCAGTTCTTGCTGCAGGTGCTGTCTTTGGGAACATGGTTTTCATGATCACTTTTTCTCCTTGTGCCACAGAGAAGAATCAGACCCAAGATGTGCATGTCATGCACTGGGTTTTGTGGCACTGTGGTGTCTTAGAGCCAGCTTGAATCAGACTCTGTGGCATCGCTGCAAGAAACTGCTGCCAGAAGTAAATCAAGATGCTTTCACTGTAAGTGCATTCACTGCGGCACTGGGGGTTGGTTTTGGAGATTCCTGAGGGAATTGCACTAATGGGGTGGGGTGTTGATGGAACACGTGATTCCAGAGCCTTACTGCAGAGTTATTTGTCTTGTGATGGGGGTTATGCTCATCTAACGCCTTGGTGTTGCCACCTCGAGTGTCTCCCTAGAGAAGAGTGCTCTCACTTTCTTATTGTAAAGTGTATTGTTAGTTCCTCTCTTTTTAAACTGCAACCATGGCTTTAAGTTCTGTTACAGACTCTTTTATTCTTTCATTCCATGTCTTTGACAGGCACTTGGTCAGTCATCCTTGCTCATTCTCCTTACCTCTTGCTCTGCCAGGCTCAGGGTGACAGCAGTTACATGTGTCTGAACTGCTGCTCCACGACAGAGGTGTTAGAAGGAGCCTGTTACTCAGGTGAGCCTCCTTACTAGCCCTTTCCTCACAGTGAGGAGATGAGCCATGGCTTTGGTGGTGCTGTAATCATGGTTGTGCTCTTGCTATGTTACTCCTTTGCAGAGCCTTGGCTGTCTCAGAGCCAGTGTGTGTTCCTTTCCCTGTGTGCAATTCCATGTTGTATTGTCAGTGTGGTTACAGAGCTTTGCAGATTTTCAAGAGCTGATGTGCATTAGCTACAGTTCATTATCCAAAGTAAACAGCTAGTTAGCAACCAGCAGAGAGCTTCTATAAGAGACAAAAATAGACCAAAAGAAGTGAGTGTATCCCCTTACCTGGCTGTAGTTGTTACACTGCGAGTGTTCATTCCTTCGGTACTCATTTTTGAGGGTATGCAGGTTCTTTAGGACTCCTTTCATCTACACATTCTTTAAGTGGCTCTTGCTAGAATGGGTAGCAGTGGTTTCCCAGTCTTCACTAGCTTATCTGGAGCAGCACCAAGTGAGTTACATGCTGCTGGCAACAGCTACTGCTCTCTCCTTCAATGGTTCCCCAGAGGAGCTGTGGCTGCCCCATCCCTGGCAGTGTTCAAGGCCAGGCTGGACACAGGGGCTTGGAGCAACCTGCTCTAGTGGAAGGTGTCCCTGCCCGGGGCAGGGGTTGGAGCTGGAGGAGCTTCAAGGTCCCTTCAACACAAACCAGTTCTATGAAGCATCTCTCATTCGGCACCTGAGAACTTCCTTTCCTGTAAGCAAAGTACTCCTGGCTCTGGTTTACTGGCTCAGGGAAGTTCCCCTCTGTGGGATGATTACCTCAGTCTGTACCTATGAGATCCATACTCCTGACAAGGGAAAGGGGTGATGGAACTTGGCATTTCTAAGGAAAGCTGTTACAAGGAAAGCGAGGTATTTTGAATATACATTGACAAATGAGGACTAAAATATGGTGATTTATTGCCAAACCTCTTTCCAGTTTAGGCGTGTTGGTTATCAGATCCTTCCTGGGTGTGAACATGAAAAGAAATAACACACAATTGGCTTTGACAGTTCGGAGCGGGTTGGTTCCAGGAAGGATTTGTCCTGTGTTGAAGGCACGTTTCTGTGATGGGCTCCTCGGAGCCCCTATTGGGCTGTTTGAGAGCAGGTCACTGGCACCACGCTGGGTTATCCTCCTGGGGTGGGTGCTGAGCTGCCAGCAGCAGCGCTGCCCTCGGCGGGGACTGGATCTGTTCCCGGGTGCTCGCCACATGAGGCGCTCCTCCAGCTCCCATCCCTGGTGGAGTGAGTGGATTAGCTGGAGGTCCTGCAGCTCGGGAACAGTTCGGGGGGGGGGCTGGTGTGGTTTGAAGCATTCTGTGGTCCCTCCTTTAGAGAAAATAGGGAAGTTTGTGTCTTCTGATCCCGACGAGTGCAAACGCCCGGAGGAGTTCATGTCCCTGAGCCCACAGCCGCTGGGAGCGCTGCTCATGGACGCTCAGCAGCGCTCCCGCTTCCTGCCTGCCAGCATTCCTTGTTCGAGATCCCAGTGCCACAGGAGTGCTGGCTAGACAGGACGATTGTTTCTGCTGGATGATCTTTAAGCCCTCCTCACTGCCTGCTGGAAACACTTCCCCATGTCACGGAAATGACTCTTTAAGAGGCAGGAATGGGAAATGACGCAGAGGCTTAACTGGTTTTCCTGGTGTTTTTAGGAGGAGGCATAGTCACTCTCTCAGGTCTTATTTCCAAAGGCATTCAGTGTTTTCCACAACCCTACTAAGTACTACAGGTATGTGCATGCATATGTGTGTGTATATATATGTATAGGCATCAAAAAACAGCTTATAAATCTAGTGTCTCCCTGTGCCCGTGCTGTAACAGGGTATATGATACATTCCCCCTTGCAGTGCTGAACTCAAACCATCCTCACGTCCTGTTTTCCCAACAGTGGCATAAATCTGTGATTATAGAGTGTGCTGTAACCTCCCTGAAGTAGAAAGAAGTCACAGTTCACATTTGTCATGGTTATTTTGCCCAAGCACCAGGTTTATCTGCATGTGCAGAGTTACACTGTGTGTTTCATCTTTATCTTGTATTGCTCCTTGCTTGCCCTTGAAGAAACGTTCCCATGTTTTAGTCTTAGTTGCTGGTGATGTTTTGTTAGTGGTTTCTTTGGTCCAGGTGTTCTTCTAAGCCGGTCTTCTGAGTTCCTTGAAGGTGTCAGGCATGGTCTGTGTCCTGTGGTCCCATTCCCAAGATGTGTCCGTGCCCCGTGTGCAGGCATCAACACCTGTGATAGCGACTCAGAGTTCCTCCACGTGGGATTCTCTCTCTTCAGTACTTCTGCAAGTGCCTGGCAAGAAAAGCACAATCCTGGAACTCCAAGATATGTGTGAGAAAAGGTAGGTTTGTGGTTTCTTCTTCATTGGGCACAATAAAACGTGCATCTTGCTGCATAACAGCAAGGCTGATGGGCTGCACAGCAGCTTTGTCCTCCTACCTTGTGCTCCATTCCTCGCCCTGCTCAAGCAGCAGCAGGTTCAACCACCCCATGAAAATCAGAACAAACAGCACAGGTACGAAAGCGTTAACAGCAAAGCTCTTGAGGTCAGAGCTCACAGAAGACCCTGTGCCCCAAACCAGTGTCACTGGCTGGTGGGGCTCCAGCACCGGTGCTGGAACACGGCGTCCAACCAGTCAGGAACTTTGCTTTGTAACCAGTGTTACTGTTTGACTTTTCCTCATCATCTGACACTCACAGATGACACAATCTCAGTTCTCCTGCAAATCAAACTGAAGTTACGTTTTATTGCCCTTTCAAGACTTATTTGTATTGTATATAAGAAAAAACATACAGTGATGAACAACTTCAACCTTTCTCCTTTTGTTTCGGTGGGGTTTTTAAAGCAACACGTATCTGCATGGTTTCTTTAGCCTTGCATGCACAAGCAGGAAAGTGACCCATAACATGCAGGGGGGGAAAAGAAGGTTTAATTTCCAAAATGTCATTTACACAGATCAGAGCATGTTCTATAGACTTAGGAACAAAGATTTGTGTGTCTGAATCAAACACAGCACTAGAGGCCCTTCAGCAGAAATACTTTTCAACTTCTCACCCATGAAATGTCAAATGAAGGGAAATACTTGTTATGAAACAAGAGAAATGATCACCTGGAATATAGAACTGGAATTTGAGGAGGAGTTTCTGATACAAAACCCCTCCGCTGTCTTGGCTGGGGTGGGGTGTGGAGGAATCCCTGTGCTGCTCTACTTGGTTTGGTCTCTAAAAGAGAAGAAATGGTGAAGGTTTCAGTGCGAGTTCAGCTTCTGTTAATGGCACTCGGGTCACCTGCACATGCAGCCTGTGAAATGAGAGGACCTGATGCCAGAACTTGGCTTTATTGTCTCCAGTGGTGATACAAAACGAGCACTCAAAGTGGCAATGCTGAAGTAAGGACGTGGAGAAGGAATTCTTCACCTAAAGTCATGGTTTATTTCATCGTTTCGCTGATGGAATTTGCCATTCGCTTCCATGCTCAGTCATGACTCTCATCCTGGGAGGGATACACAGGAGTTGGGCACCAGCCTCAGCACGTACAACCACAAACCAGATGAATGTTTTACAGAGGACAGGTTTTTGCCTTTCGAGTGAGCACACACTGATGTGAACATAGACTAAAAATAACAAATGTTGCTTTAATAAGGATTTTTTACAGTAGGCGGAGATATAAAAGTTTTCCAAATGATTTTCACAGGTATCACTGAACATTTCGTAGCTGTCTGATACAGAAGCACCCAAAAGTGCTTTGAGTCTTTCATTTATTATACATAGTTAAAATATATTACACTTCTGAAGGTATCTGAAATCACTGAACGGGGTTGCTAGCATCTTAATGAGCCAAATGGGAGTAAAAGGCAGTCCACATTCATGATGTGAATATACAGTAAGGTGTTTGACATCCTAGTAACTCATTGCTCATGTTCTCAAAATAACCATGGTGATGAGACCTGAAAGACAAGAATTAACAACTAAATGCTTTAATTTCACAGAATAAAACATCTAAAATAGACAGTTTACCCTGTCACAGGCTAGAAAATAAGCTAAAAGTGCATCAATACACGAAGTTATATATACACTTCACTTAAATAGCAGAAGGATTGCTCCAAGCGCTGATGGAGTCACGAGCTGCTTACAAAGACTGACACTCAAGTGCAGTGTTGTCTGGTACCTAAATGTCAAAGCAGCTCTAAATAATCCAAACAATGACTGAGCTCACCCCTGGACAACCTCAACCTTGAGCTTTTGACTGTGGCAAGCCTAAGACCAGCACACAAGCCCCAGTTTTCATGGGGGCTGTGTAATTCAAACGCTGACTCAGCAGCCAGGCAGATAGCTGAAGGCTCCAGGGCGTTGTTTCTGCTCTGTGCAGAACTGATCAAAGACCAGTTCTAGACAAAGATGTGAAGCTTCCTTGTCAGTCTGCACAGGGAGCTTCCTCCAGACTCTTTGTTGTGACCTTTAGAAGGGAGGAAAGCAAAACAGAACTGTGCTGATAGAGCTTAAAAACAATTAAAGCCAGATGAAAGCAGGAAACGTGGGGCTCATAAACCTACTTGTGGCACAGTGAGAAGTTCGCTTTAATTATGTGCTGAATCAGGAAAAAGTACAACTCTGCAAGTTCTCAGCCATGATTTATATTGCTCAAGGTGAAGAGGTATATGGAAAACATGAGGGCTCCCTCAATTCCAGCCTGACACGACATCCAAGTGGTAATTTATCAGTTCTTGGGCAATCTTCCCTTCCTGCAGGCTCAGATGGTGCTCATGGAACAGCCTTTCACTGCAGAGCTCAGCTAAAGCCTACACATCTCTCCTACCATGGATGAAGACATTTGTGAGACTGTTTTACTGTCCTGCCTCTACACAGCAATTTAACTCACTGACTTGGTAAAGGCTGTGAAGATGGAAGCGTGGCAGAGCAGAGCCCTAACGCTGCCTTCCATGAGCAATGCTTCCACTCAAGAGGAATTGCACTTCAGCTATTGCTTAAGGTCTGTATTAGCTTGGCCAGTTGCTACTGCCACAACTGCTGTAGGCCTTAGTCTGGATTACCTAAATCACCACAGAGCAGTCACAGAGGCTCCTGGAAGGTGCCACAGGACAGCCCATACCACTTGTAGGGGGACTTTCAGGCCATAAAGGGTTTAACTCATTGCTGTAAAGCAAACACTTCTCAGCTGTATAGCCCAGTTGATGGGCATTAACCTCCCTTTTCAGTTAAAGCCACACAACACAGTTGTGCTTTGGTGCAAAGAAAGTGGTTTCATCTTCTCAAGAGCACTCAACTTTCTACACAAGAGGAGTTGCACATAAAGAACCTTTTCATGAACACTAAAAGTGCTGCTACCACAGGAATCAAAACCTGTAAGACCTTTATAGTGAACCTACAAACAGGTCGATTTGTTGCAAATGTATAAAGCCAAATGGTTAAAACTGTTGTTTCCAGCAGAAACTGGAGTAATTTTCAAAACTAGAGATAAAAACACAGCAAGAATTAATGCAAGGTCTGAGAATACACCACCAGTGGCTCAGGCAGAGAGCAACAAGTGAGTTTTCCAACTGTTTCAGCAGACTGACTTGCAGGAGTCAGCCAATGGACTCAGTGTGTGTATGAACCACCGTGAACTTATGTCTTTTCCCACCACTACCTCACCTCTAGCTATCAGTGTGAAGCTGCCTAGCTCGTTTCCTGTAACGCCTCATTTCTGCCAGGTAGTGGGACAGGAGAACTGAGTTTAGTGAGACTGTTCTTCAAATCTGAAATAGTTATAGAAAAATAGTCATAACACATGAAATGTGCAACTTCTCTACACTTGCTAAGTCAGGAGTTACAAAGCAGAAAGAACTGTGACTACTGGTGCTCTCCTCTGAAGGGTTTACAACAACTCATTTCTACACATTTCATAGAATCAACCAGGTTAGAAAAGACCTTTAAGCTCAACCATCACCCCAGCAGTGTTTCAGTATAAGAATCAGAAATGGCACATTCCATTCAGGTTTGTTGGCAGATGACTGCAGTTGGCCACTTGTCAAATCAAAGTGAATTAACACGTAGGGGCCTGTATATAATAAGTATCAACTAAAATCTGGTCAAAAATGCTTATGAGAATTAATTCACTCTGGCTGCCAGTTAAAATCTAAGTAGAGATGCAAACCAAAAGGTAATGTGGTGATTTGTATTCTATCAATCATGGGCAAATGCAGAAGCTGTAAGAAAACATTTACAAAAGCCAAAACACTTACCTAAAACATAAGCAGCTACTAACTTTTGATTCACACTTAAGTGGAGGTAGAGAGGCACCAGGGATTCCACTTCCCCCAATGTAGGTAGCATTAGTGCTGCAATACACACTATTCCTAGGAAGACTGTTAGTAAACTAGGTCCCGACGAGGCAGTTCTGTTTTCTGAAAGAGATGAGGAAGGAACATCCACGTGTTAAACAACATCTGACCAAAATAAATGTTAAACATGATGAAAAAAACGTTTATGGTACATTGGAGCTGCGACATCCTGAGGTTTTCTTTGCCCTTTGGAGTTTTGAGGGGGTGGAAAACAGCTCTTAAACCCACCCTTGTCAACCTTCCACATTTTGCTGTTCCCTGTTCTGATGCTGGAACTTGTTTTCACATGATTTCCCAAACCCCTCCCTTCTGGAGGAACAGAACCTGCCAGGCCCAGTTAGACGCTCCTGGCAGCTGGATGCTTCAGTGGGGCTTGAGGTTTCACCACGCATCCTGCCTCCATTCCTGAGTATGTTCCTTCAGTGATTAGTAATCGATGAGGAAAGAGCACCTGAAAGAGCTGCACAGGCAGGTAACAGCCTCCACACCCAGACCAAAACCTGGCTACAGCAGGAGCTCATGTTCTCGGGCTAGATGAGACTCTTTCTTTAGAGGATTCAAGGGCTGCATCTTCCTGAACCAGTTTAAATGCCAAAAATTAGTAATATTGGAATCTTCTTTTAAAACCTATGAGAATGAACCACTCTGACAATGTCACCAGATTAAGGAAACACGAACTATAAAGATGCAGCTGCAATCTACTCAAAGGCACACTGTGTCATCTCTGAGAAGAGCTGTTAACATGTTAGTTGAATACCTCCAGCCAAATTCTTACATCCCATTGGAAACCAGCCAATGTTTTTATCCAAGTTTTCTACCCTCAGAGACCTGTTTTAATTCCAGACTTTCTAGGTTGTAGGTTAGATACAAAGCCTGCAGTTGCTTTGTTGGCTGCTTTGCTGTTAGCAAGCAGTAGAATGAAGTCAGTAAAGGTTTTAAGCAGAGGAACAGCATTTGGATCAAGACCAGTATCAGATTGTTCAGGATGGTTCAAACCCTCTGTACTGAACAACTATCATGGTCACATTTTGTCCTGTGAGCCCAGAGACCTTTGTAGGCTATAACCATCTACCCCACTAATACCTATCTCTTGAGGTTGTTTGGTTTTGGTTTCATCAGAAGGTGTTTTACCAGCCAGCAGCCTATGTGTAACTAGTGAAACAGTTTTGTTTTAACAAGAGGAACACTCTCAAGCAGGTTCACCTATTTTCAGGAACTGATTTTTGTTCTTGTCATGAAAAATCAAACAAGTGACAAGAATATTCCAGTATAAATCAGGAAGAGTGAGGGAGACTGTCAAGAATCAGTTTAAATTCAGTTCTGGAACAACTTGGTACTTTCTAAATCTCCCCCTACCACTTGAATTTAACTGTTCAAGTCCAGGTTTTGCCCAGGACTGTTGATTCACTTCCTCATGTATGAAACATGCACAGTTTCCAGTTGGTAACTGTACTGTTCTGTACTTGTGAGACACACAAAGGAGATGGCACTGAACAAGGAGCGCTTTAGAGGGTGTTTCTGGCGATATTTCCTGCTCATCAGGAAATGAAAGATAAAAGGTTTGGAACTAACTCAGAAAGGGCATATGTTCTGAGAGAGCCCAAGGGAAAAAACAGCTACCACCCTTTTGCAGATAAACTCCCTTTGCCTGATTGTGCACCAGAGGAATGGAGAAGGCACCCTGCAAGTGACACACAACCATGGGGCAGCAAAGGGTCTTGATCAAGACAGCACAAGCACAATAGCCACGGTTTGCGTTCTAGGGCACCATCATCCCCCAGTGATGAAGGCAGCAGTCTTGCACGTATGTAAAAAGTACTGGGTTAAAATTCACTTCAGTCTTTCTAGTCACTTGGGCTGTTCATAACTGCTTCAGAAGACAGGAGGGTCAAAGGTTTCAGGTACCTGGTTGACACAAAGTCTGCTCAAAAAAGACACTTTCAGCCAGGTGTTCTTTTATTCGTTTCTCCTCCTCTTCCTTTTGTTGTTGTTGCTCCTTTGCAGATGGAAGTAGAGTTGCAATAATCTCCTTTTTCCCTAATGCTTTCCTCTGGCTCTGCTCAGACACTTGGAGACGGAATTTATCTATCACACCAAAGTAAGAAGCCCGAACATCTCTGTGACGGATCACGCTGCAGAGGAAAAGCACATTTTCAAACAGAGGAACTAATAAGCAGCACTTCTCTTGTGGAATTACATCCTACATATCCCAGTGTTTCCCCTCGTCCCACCCTACACAGATGCAATAGTCCAGATCCCCGTAATCTCCTCCATCACTCCATGTGCTTGATGATTTGATCTTGCCTTCTCTCTCCCCTCTTTATGTTTGCTCTGGTTCCCAAATATATCTGCTCCAATTGGCTGGCCAAAAGGAACAGTTAATTCTTTATCTTAAGCCCACCTTTGGGATTTCAGAACCAGAAGCCTCCTAAAAGCATGTATCAGTGCAGTAGAAATGACAGCCACAGATCAACATGTACGTCTTTCACCTCTCAGTGAGTAAATCTGGCTATCAACAGCAGAGCTCTGTGCTGTCAGAGCTTTGCTCATCAACCTAACTACCTTGAGCACAGTTCATAGCCTGATCTGAAACACACGATGCTGCAGATACTCCACTACCTACCCAGAGCTACACCAGGTGTAGCTACACAAGCTACAGTCACAACCAGACTGCAGTGTAGACATATCCTCTGAGTTATAGAGTCACTTATTTTCTTGGTAAACCTTCTCACTGTCCGGCAATCACTCTGTTGCTCAACTGTTTTGAATACCTTGCCCAAGATGGCTTCAACAGCAAGACAGGTTCTGGGCTGTTGCATTCCTTCTAGTTTTATGGTATTCCATGGGAAAAAATGTCTGTGGGACTTACAAAGGGCACAGGTTTAAAAACACTGCTCAAAGGCACACAGACGTCTGAGCAGCGCTCTGCTCAACTGCCTCCCCTCTGCAGTTATGATTCATTAGGAAAACACCTCTGTAGCATTAACCAGCTGTAACATTCAGGTTCCAACTCACATCAGCTCTCAGGATTAATACGGATTTTTGTTATTTTTCCAAAGTGGAAAACTTGTTTTTTGTGAAAGGCTATTCTCAATTTCTAAGATAACAAAAGCTAATCTGGAATTACACCTCCATACAAGTGACTTGGCTTCAAGCAGGCTGCCATCTCCCGAGGGGAAAAAAAATGATTCCACCCTTAGTAATACAGGATAGTAGTCTTAAATTGCTTCAAGAAACCTATCTTTGTGATAATACAGACATTAAAACGCTGCAAGAAATAGATTTTTGTGTTCTGGTCTTCATTTAAATGAACTATATCAAGACACCCACAGTCAGTTAACACAGAGACAGTGCTCATAACTGGTATCTAGTTTGAATTGACTATTCAACAAGGAAGCAGAGACAAGTCACCCTCCAAACTAGGAGGTGCAGTACTGTACCTAGTTTTATGTCACTTTAGAGGCAAAAGAGTGTGCTTATGACAGGCTTTCAGTGAGCTGAGTGTTGGCTGGGCAACTGCCTTCACTAAAACAAAAGGGTTTTCCCCCCGGACAATCCTAATTCACACAACTCTCAGCAGATTCAACTCTTCTTTCTTCCTTTAACACTTCCTTTTCATTTTCTGTTTCTACTCTTAGTACCAGGGGACTAGCTCCCAACCTAAACAGAATCTGTGCATAATGCTGTGCTCTGAGAACATGCATCTGCTGCCAAGCAAAGAGATATTTTCTGCAGACCCCTATAAACAGCTACATTCTCCTGTTTCTTTTTAGAGCCCATTGCATAATTGGAAGCTCTGTAGAATATCTGTTTATCTGGCAAATGGCCACGCTTGCATAGTACTGCTCAGAGCCCAGCAGTAAACACTGCCCTTAGACAGCAACCATTGGAATAGGATGGGGGTTCTGCTGGAAACAGTTTTCCCTTGGCAACACGCATATGTCTTATTTTCCTTTCTTTAATAAAAGACATTTGTTTAAGATTAACCAAATGTCCTCAAGCTTGTGTAAATGTCTGCTAAAGGCTGGAACAGCTCACTGATACAATGATACATTCTGACCTGCTTTGTTCCATTTGTAGGACTGTTACCCCTGCCCACTGAAACCTTTTAGTTCCATGTTTTAAACTTCCTTTCTATTTGGTGAGTCCTTGGAATTTTCCAAATTACACCTCAGGAAGACAGTCTACAGGAAAGAGCCATTCCCCAAGCCCAGTATTATTTATCTGACAAAAGACAGATCCTTCACTAGTGGAGTTTTCTTCCATGGCCATTTGTTAGCCAGAGAGCCCAGGAGGTGTTACACCGTTTGCAAACTTCTATTCAGAAAGCTCAGTCTGCTCTTTTAGGTATTTCATACTTTCTTCAGCTATACATCAGCACAGAAATAAGGTGTTAAATGGAAGATGCAAAGAAGTTGGTCTAAAATAGACTCAACTTTCAATTATAGCAGCCTACAGACCCTATACATTACTGTGGTCACTTCTCATTTTCTCTGTTACTGAGTTGGCACCTGACAAGGGGAACAGGTAAAGGGGAGACAGATCTGAGAAAAAGAGAGGCCGTCAGGGTGAAAGGTGGGCAAAAGCACCTTTAGTAAACATGGCCCGTGCTCCGCACAACTCACATGTTTCCATTTTGCCCATCTGCAAACAAATATCCCCTGCATGAGGGATTTCTGCAGGACAAATACTTGTTTGCAGATGGAGTCTTGCTTTTCTTGTCATGTCTAACAAAAAACTGCTCAGAAGATGCTCATTTTACTCTCACCACTGGTTTACAAACTACACTGCATTTACTATTTATTTATGCCTAAAGACAAATTAAAGAAGGAAGTGTGACCAGTATTGTCATACCTCTGCCCTGGAGTGAAAGAATGGCAAAGACCAGACAGCCACAAGAATACAGGAGATTAGGACAATACTGTATCCAACTTAGTACTGTTGGATATAATAAACTTAGTTCATACTATGCATGCTGTCATTTACTACCTCTTAAATAATAAAAGACATCAAGATAAGTCAATGTTGTACATTAGAAAAGAAAAACACCCAACTTTTACTTACATATCAACACAGCACTGAGGCTTCACTGCACCAGTAGCATCAACCACCGCATATTTGTTTGGAGTTGTACAAAGAACTGCAACAGAAAGGACAGGAGTGGTAACAACTCACGAATTAACACCTCACCAACTTCATCAACACGTAAAGACACGAGTTTGGGTTTGTCACAAATGTGATTTGTGACATGAATTATAATTGGACTGTTCAAGATCACCAACTAACCCTTAAATAGAACTTAACCTAAGAAACCCACCTTTGAATTTTAAGGCAAACTCATAGGGGTTATATAGAGTCAACACCTGCTTGTGTGTTGACTGGTCATCTGCATAAAATATAAGTTCTGTAGGAAAAACAAAAACAGGAAGATTTCCTTCCACTAACTCTGGCTGTCTTTTTTGTTGCTGCATTGGCACTGAATCCTCCTTGCTGCTTCTTGGGTTCTTATGGTTTTGTATCCTCAGAGACTTCAGGTTTTGAAGCGTTTAAGAATTCCAAAGCATTTTGGCAATTCTAAAGGAAAAAAAGGGGGAAAAAAAGAGAAAAGGCAAGAAGATTATTTCCATAAGTCTCTACTGAACTGAGGCAGTCAATAACGGTGTAAAAATATACAATGTGATGCTTGGTTATGAATCTACCTCTACTTAAATTCCTTTCAAAATACAGAAATAGAAGAAAATATTTGCATCAGGTTTCCATCTATGTAACAAACTGCTATGAAACAAACTGATAAGCACTTCTTCAGGGTATCATGGCAGCATTTTGGGGTCCCAGCTCACAACCAGGGTTGCTCACACTGGCTCTTTGCAACACAACCGAACAATGGCATAAGCATATCCCATCCTTAAAGGTATCCCATCGGTGCCTTGGGACAGCAGAAGTGAGGAAACACAAACAGGTAAATCCCCTTTTAGGCAGGAATCTCTCTGCAGTGATGCCCTTCCCGGATGAGGGATAACAACTTAGGTATCTGCTCACACAGGCACTGAGGTATGTCAAACTCCAGACACTCAGAACAAAAGAATGGGGAACACCTTCACGCCTTGTTTAAACTAACCTCTTGTTACGACTGCACTGTAGTTCCTGGGATGAAGAATACCAAACAGATTTGGGATTTTGTCTCTAACCAAAGTACAACCATCCTAATTCTCCCTCTGCCACCCCCCAGTTCTGTTTCACTTTGAGTGACGTTCCAGAACTAAAACCAGAACCCATGACCCGAGCAAGCAACAATCCCAAATGCAATTCATAAAGGCCAGACTCCCAAGCACACGTACCACTGACGACAGACAGAACAAAGTGAAAGAGCTACTTACATTCCCCCCCTCCCCCCCAAACATCATGTTTTACTGTAGCTCCTACAGGTTAATTATCAACCTGGAGATGTCCTCTGAGACTTGACGTTATTCTATAGTAGAAAATAGGAAAAGAACAAAAAGTTCCTACTGACTCATTCCCATTTCCACAAAGCTTTATAAAACAAGGTCCATCTCAGCTGCTCTCCAGCCTAATAATCTGATTTAGTTGCACCTTAAGACATTTAGTTTCTGAATGTTCTAGCCACGAATAGCCCTCGCATTATGAACAATCAAAACCAAAGGCTTGTTTCTGCATTCTAAACATCATGACGTTCGCATTTCCAGGCACCAGATACGTCTCATACTTGAAACATGACCCAAGTTGAGGTGTTTACCAGAGTGCATCTGTCATATCTTCAGATTTACAGGTTCTGATTCTTATTCCCAAACTAAACTTACTAATTTTTATTCAAATAGCAGCTCTTCCCTGTAGAATTTAAATTCACAGTTCTCCCTGGAATGTCTTCCCCCAAGATCCAGTTTCTCTTCAGAGCACAGGTTTGTTTCCACTTCACTGAAATGCTACTAATAATATGCTGAAAACAAATCCCCAATGCTTGTGTTCCAAGCTGATGTTCTGCTACCTTATTAAGAAGAGTCCAGAGAAAGTAACAGATCTGGATGTGGCAATTTGGGTTCGGAGTGCTGCTTGGAAGCCTGCTGAATCCCTTTGGTTTCAGTAGAATTAAACTCTGGAATCACTTTGTGGAGCAAGTGTAAGCCTTATTTCTTGAACGACTTTATGTACAACTGCAAAGTGAGAATCATTGTTCCATGCAAATATCTGATGACTGTATGAAGAGCTAATGTGGAAAACCTGCCAGCTCCCAGGAATGCAAAATGACTTCTGAAACTTCTCATAGGCAGAGGGGTTTATTTTTTACAGCAGTTAGCTCGATGCAGTGAGTGTATCTGAGAACCTCTGGTTCTCACACTTATCTATACTGCACACATTGCATATAAGAGAAACACAGGCAATCTTTGAAGCTAGCAGAAGTGGGTTTCTTTCCCCTAATAAACATTTTAAACTACTGCTAGGTACTTTTGAGTGGCTGTATTTAATGAAAGGTTTAAAACATTATTTCTAATAATGAATGCTATTTTGATTCTTTAGGGTTTTATTTCAACACCGCACAAGTTTCATTCCAATTCCTGGTGTCAAACCGCAACTCAGGTTTCTTCAGCTCAGCAGCAGCATGTGTTGAGGTGTCCAAAACCCCAGATCACCACATCAGTGGAGGTGTGGATCACTAACCCTATTAATAGGCTAATTTTCCTTAGACCTGTTGAAAATCCCAGGATTCCACAACTTACAAGCAGAAAACCACCAATCTTAAAAAAGCATATGCCATTATTGCTTCCTTTTCTTATTTGACTTGGCTGGATAAGAAGTTACCACCCAAACTGGCACAAGTAAAAGCTGGCAAACCCAGGCCTATAATAGATGTGCTTGCTGACACAGCAGTGTCATTCAGGTTATAAATTTCTGGATTTCTAAGGAAGCAACCTTTTTGCCTTGGAAGTCGCCTTACTGGGATAATTCACCAAGTGCCGCCTATAAAAGGGCTTTTCCCAAAGACAGAATTATAAGCCACACATGTGCTTCGGAGATTTGACAGTTTGGTATTAATAACAGCATAGCTTCCATACAGCACTTATCGATAGGAAACTGCAGAGACTTCTACAGAAGAAGCCCGCATCATCACAACTTCCCTGTGCAGACTGACCCTCCAGCAGCGCTCATGCAGTGTTGGTTGGCAAGAACCCCCCCGTGTGCTGGGTGCACCCCCAGAGCGTGAGCAGCAGCTCAGGGAGGGGATCCTGCCCCTCTGCTGTGCTCTGGGGACACCCCCCCTGCAGCCCTGATCCAGCTCTGGGGAACAGCACAAGAGGGACGTGGAGCTGCTGGAGCGAGGCCAGAGGAGGCCCCGGAGCTGCTGCGAGGGCTGGAGCAGCTCTGCTCTGGAGCCAGGCTGAGAGAGCTGGGCTGGGGCAGCTGGAGAAGAGAAGGCTCCTCAAGGGGACACCTTAGAGCAGCTCCAGGGCCTAAAGGGGCTCCAGGAAACCTGGAGAGGGGCTTTGGACAAGGGATGGAGGGACAGGACAAGGGGAATGGCTTGAACCTGCCAGAGGGGAGATTGAGATGAGCTCTGGGGCAGAAGCTCTTCCCTGTGAGGGTGCTGAGGCGCTGGCACAGGGTGCCCAGAGAAGCTGTGGCTGCCCCATCCCTGGCAGTGTTCAAGGCCAGGTTGGACACAGGGGCTTGGAGCAACCTGCTCTAGTGGAAGGTGTCCCTGCCTGTGGCAGGGGGTTGGAGCTGGAGGAGCTTTAAGGTCCCTTCAACCCAAAGCAGGCTGGGGTTCCATGAATACAGCTATGCAGCGGGCTGCCTCTGGCCCCCCAGCCAGGCCCTTTACAAGAAACACAGCCACCGCTTTGTGCACCACAACAGGCTCTCTCCACGATCACTCCATGCTGCAGTTGACAGTCACCGTGATTACTTGTAGAACACAGAGGTAAGCACAAACCAAGACCTGTGGGCTCAGTTCTGTGACCTCCCCAGTCTGGGCTCCTCCCAGTACTGCTAATGGAACTCCTCACTGGTGCAGGAATCTGTCCAACAGAACTCCCATTACAGGACACAGGCCAAAGAGTAACACCTGAACAACGCCAGCTTGCTTTCAGCTCGCTCTGAAGTCCAAACAACCACCACGGATATCTTTTTTAGCACAATAAGGATCTTTCCTCCCTGAAGTTACTAAATATATGCTGCTGGTGTCACAATAGCACAGATCTGCCAGCGTTCCCTTTGAAGTCCCTTCCTTCATACATTTGGACAGAGAAAAACACAAAGCAAAACACAACTTCTCTCCAGGGTCAGAAATAACACTGGTTGTGATTTGGTTTTACTTAACAAGTATCTGCTTAGAACATAAATCAAGTGAGGAAGTTTGCTGTTCCCATTTTAACTTCCAACAGCCTCATCACCATGGCTTCCAAGTGCATCTGTTGGTTGTTGTTTTTCTCCTCACAACTGCAAATAACTCCACAGAGCGTCATCTGGTAAACACTTTATTCAGATGAAAACCTCTTTACAATCACAGTCTCCACGTTCTCCTTTCAAAAACTGTTCAATTACAGTGTAATCTACTTCTGTTCTATCTCATGATAAATGCTCTAAACCTACACAATAAGCCTTTCTACACTATACCCTCAAGAAAATTGATGCCTTTTGAGCGCACGTTTACAAAATAAGCCACAAACTCTTCCTCACATCTCCCTCCTATGTCAAGCTGAGCAATTACTTTAAGCTCCACATAAACACAGCACTGGATCTTGAGCAGATCTATCCACATTTTGCTTCCCCAGAAGGTTTTGAAGGCCTCACTGTGCACTTACGCAAACCAATGTTTAAACTACCTGCAATTATTTGGGAGAGTCATCCAGCACCGAGAGCATGGAGCCAGCAGCCAGGATGGCTGGATTCCATTATTGTTACCTCTGCCACCAACACTCTATGACCTTGAGCGAGTTGGTGAACCCCACCTCAATGTGCTGATCTAGAAAGGCACATGTCCTGCAAAGTATTTCAGTAGGTGGACAGTCACATTTAGACTGGCAGAACTACTCCAATACACAAAGCCTGGGCTGCAATGTGACTGTTTACCTCTTACAGGGTCGCCAGAAATGCAATTAGTAACTGTCTCCAGGATGCTGTGAAATGAAGTCGTCTCAGCGCGGTACCTATTAGCATGGATGACTACAACGGGCATAAATCCTGCTAGTACTGACAGCACAATTCGTTAAGACCATGTTGGTTCTTTTCCTTTATTTTCTCAAATGCTGCAAAGGTGGCAATACCAAAAAAACGCAACTAAGAGCTGTGCAAAAGCAGGGGAAAATGAAATAACTGCTGCGTGCTGCTTCTGATCCAGTCTACTCTATTGCTCAGAAGAATCCTACGTGTAGATCCAAAACTCAGCACCGTACCGGCTGCAGGGAAGAGAATTAACTGTCTCCCAGCCGAAACCAGGCCAGGGTGGAAGCGCTTCAAGGGCATATCTGCTTTAGCCTCTATTTTTTCACTTTCGGTTTGTTTCATGCACTAAACCGAAACGCGTTTCGTGCTCGTTAGCGCTACGTGGCCTTTTCCCCT